GGGGGGGTGGGAGAAGAATACTCCAGCCCCTGTGGTTGTCTTGGCTGCCAGACTCCCGGAGCGCAAATTCAAATGCAAGGTCATATCCCACCCCGAACTGCCGCTGCGGGCCTCGGGCCTCGGCCGCGGGACACCTGGGCGCTACTTCAGTCCTGCCCCCGCGGCCTTGGAAACTGGGTCCTGCAGTGTCCGAGGCCACGCCAGGGCTCCGTCCTACAGCGCAGTGGCTGGGGACCCACATGAAGTCCAGGAGCCTCTGCGCTCCTTGTATAATTAGTAACCAGCTGTCAAAGCTTAGGCCGGTCGGCAGAACCCGAAACCCATCCCGGCCCCAAGGACAGCCTGCCAGCCTGCCTGAATTCTAGATCCGAATACCCTCCTCTCTTCGACCGAGACCAAATTACCTGCGAACCAGGGTCTAAGCCGCATCTGCCACAACTCAACTCCCTGTGCCGCCTCCCCTTGCTTAGATTCCTGTTTTCTTTTCCCCGCGGGTCGTCCTTGATGCTGCAGGCAGATATTCATTCCCCTTTGCAAATGTAAACTGTTTGGGGGGTTCATCATAATCCTGGGCATTGCATGGGTGCTGCATATGGGAGTACCCCCAGACAACTCGTCTCCCAGATCCCGGCCCTGAGAGCAGCCTGTCCCTCTGCAAGGAAAGAAAGGTCGCTGAGCCCGGGGCTGACCTGCAGCTTCCCGAGCTGCGCGGAGGGCAAATGCCCGGGGCTTGTCGGGGCGCAAGCCTGGGCTCCGGGAAGATCGCGGCTATTTCACCGCCCCACCCGCACCTTCTGTGCGTGTGGCAGCCTCCCTGCAAGGGACTCGGCCCCGCAGCTCCGGGTCTCCCAGGCCGAGCCCCGACCCCGTGGGGAAGGCCCGCAGATCCCGGGCGCTGGCCTGGGCCAGGAGGATAAGCCTCCGGCTCCAGGGTCGTCCAGCTGAGGGTCTGGGAAGGATCCAGGTGTGGAAGAGAAGCGGAGCGCCCCCCGGGGGACTGCCCTGGTGGGGAACTGTCGGGCTCAGCGTCGCGCAGGCTCCGGCCCGGGCCCACCCGGCTCAGGCGCGCATTCTCCACCTCGCTCGGCGCCTACCTGAGCATCCGGTCCACCTCCGCCCGCTGCTCCGCCGCCTCCTCCGTGTTGAGCGCCTGTAGCTCCTTGAGGATGGGAGGGGTGTCATAGTCGTCGCCGTCCTCCGAGCCCTCATCCCCAGACAAGCGCCCCTTGGCGTGGCCATTGGTGAGCGTATGGAAGACCGGCTTGGTGTCCGGCTCGGCCCCGCTCCCGGGGGACAGCGGCAGCGTCTCCAGCTTCACCCCGAAGTTTGGGGATGGCAGCAACTCTTCCAAGGCCTGGACCAGCACCTCCTTCGTGACCCCAGAGCTCAGCAGGGCGCTCAGGAGTTCTTGCTGGAGCGACGTGAGCTTGGACACCATTTTCCAAGGACAGAAAAAGAAGGGGGTGAGGGGATGGGTGGGTGAGAGAGGAGGGTGGAGGGGAGTTTCCCAAGTGAACCCCAAGTCCAGGAGCCCCTCCACCCTTCAGCCTCCAGACACCTGTTAACGCCCCAGGGTCCCGGAGTCTCCTCCGAGAGGAGTCAGAAAACTTCTAACTTGCCATGATCGCCACCATTAGGCCATATAAGATATGCAAATGAGTGGGAAGGGCCCGGCTCTCGGTAAGATGCAAATGGTGGTGGGGAGGGGGGAAACCGTGAGAGAGGAGAGGGGCCGGGGCAGACGTGGGGAGCCGGAGCCCGGGCCGGAGCGGGGCTGGCCGGGTCCATTGTACTCACGCTGGGGGCTGAAGACCTCCTTTTGCTGGCTCTGTTTATCGGCCAAACTTCAGCTGACCTTTGGACTTGTTAAGCAAGTGCCTGGCAGCCTAGGCGCGGGGGCTTTTCCGCCGCCGCCGCAACGTTGGCTTTAGTCCCGAAAGAAGAAACCGCGCTGCAGGGGTTCAGGTGAGAGCTGGAGAAAGTTGGGGTGTTTTTGGAAGAAGGAGCTGGGACAAGATCCTAAGAGGAGACACCTCATTCCGAGCTCAGCCCGAAGGCCGCAGGTGGTGGGCCGCAGAGGCGCAGGGCGCACGGGAAACACCCGGAATGGGCGCGGAAGCCTGCGGAAAGTGGAGTGGTGACGGACGGCATGAGTGTGGACTGAAGGCACCCCACTTATTTCTACCTGGGTTACCGCCCTCCACGCCCCAGGCCCTCACTGGCTGGGTCAGGCACAACCGCGGGCAAGAGAGCACAGGCGACGGTGAAGGAGGCTGGGAGGGCCCTTGCAAAGAGGGACCGACTTATTTATGGACCGAGGGAGTAACCGGGGTTGAGCTCCCCGTCGCCGAGCTGCCGCAGCTCCTAGTGCGCCAAGCCTCGGGGCAGGGGGGCCGCTGGGCCGGCTCCCGGGTTTAAACACGGAAGATCAAAGCACCTCGCCTTTGGCGGCAAAACTAGGACTGTGGGTCCTCCTTTCTCCACGTGAAGGCAAACCTCGGCCTGTAGCTGGATGGCCCGCTCATTTCTGGTTTGTTTGCACTTGCAGGACGCGCGCGGCTCCCTGGCTGAGGGTGCTCTGCAGACAGGGTCGCTGCGGCGGTGGCGTGAGTCTCCGGAGTTTCACACGCCAAGGAGAGAAGGCGCCGACAAAGCCATTGAGGGGAAGATTTTTTTTTCCCCACTCCCGCCTGGAAGGAACGAGCAATGGGCCTTTCAGCATTTTCATTTCGGCCGCATCTCCCCTGGGCTCCGAGGGGAAGGAAGGAGGCACCAAGTTCGCCCGGAACTGCAGGCTGGCATCTGACTTGCTGACGAGGAGGGACGGTGGGGTCCCGCACTCACAGCCTCCTCGCTCCTGGAGCAGAAGACACCCTGCTCTCTGCTCTGACCTGTTTCCTTATCTGAGACATGAGGGATACTACCGATACCCACAGTGAAAGGGCTGTGTACCTGGAGACCGCTTGTGCCAATCCTTGGTCCAACAGTTTACATTTTCCAGTTTAGGAAAGCTGGGGACCAGTGGCAGTGAAATCTTGCCTCCCGGAAGGCTTCGGGTTCTCAGAATTAGAGAGATTGAGCACTGGGGTTGGAGGGACTGGTGGACTGGGAACAAAAACATCAAAACTAGCAAGAACATTGCCAAGGAGCTGTCTCTAAGCACATTTTCTCTCTCTCTCTCACCTGCAAAGAGAGGACGAGTTGGGATTAGTTAGGGATAGAGAGGAATCTCAGCTGTAAGAGAGGCCAGAAGCTCTGATCTGTTAGGTACTACAGCAGCCTGGGAGGGTGAGGGCTGATGGTGCGGACCCTTCCAAGTCAGGCCGCAAGGAGCTGGGCTGCCTCTTCTAAGTGCAGGACCAGCAACCGTGCTGAGATGCAGAAAGAAGCAGGTGAAAAAGCTTTGCATCCATGTCAGTCCCTGTTTTCCTGAGAAAGGGATAACGAGATCACAAAAGTCAGGCCCTTCGTCCCACCTTCTTGTCTTCTAGTTTGCTGTGATGTATGACCGATCCCTGCCCTTTGTAACTGCACCCAGAGAAAGAGCCTTCTCCGCCTACCCAGAGCCCTTCAAACAAGATCATGAAGGGTTGCAAGTAAATGTCTAGAAAACCGTCTCTTTGCCTGTCTTTCACTTGTTATCATAATAGAAACATCAAGTGTAAGGAAGATCAGTTTCTGTGTTAAGCTGGGAAACCCCAGTTTAAAAAAAGCAGCAATCACTTCCCTCTTAAGAAACAGCAAAAACCTTGATTTGTAGTTTCAAAGACTGTGTGCCCCATCTGACGCCTGAGCCTCTCAAGCTTCAGGTGTCAGCTAACCAGTTCTTCCCCAGCCCAGCCAGCTCTGTCAACAGGCAGGACGTTTCACACAGAGTACAGGGAAAACTTCCCAGGGGGGGCCAGGCTTACCTTGTTCACTTGGGGACAATTCAGGTTCTCACCAAGCAATCACGACTATGCAGGTTTGTAAACAGATTCAGCACCTATCCCATCATACGGGTTTTATTTATCTATCTATATCTAGCTATCATCCATCTGTTTATTTTCCCATAGGGCAGCTGCACTCACCAGAGACATAGGGAAAGCGAGGAATCACGCCCCAGGGAAATGGTCACACCTCAATCCCTCTCCTCCATTCTCTCCTGGGGATCTTGGGCATGCAGGCACACACACCTGCTGTGTTTCCCAAGCGGCTGGTCTGGGACTCAAAAAGTGGAGGTGGCCATGTGGGACCCAGCGCCTCTACCACCATGCTACCTGCTGGCCCCCATCATGTGGACTTTTCAAAGAAAAGTGTAAGTAGCCCAGCAGAGAGAATGGGCTTTGTCATAAAATGCTTTAAACTTCTCCCAGATAGAGGAAGACAGAATCTGACTAAAATAATCTTTGTTGATGCTTTACATAGGGTAAAGTGGTACAATAAACTGATACAGTAACCCCATTAAAAAAAAAAATTGCTGGGACCAGCAGATGGTGTAGCAGTTATATCACTGGACTCCCGCATGGCCCACCATGGTTCAAATCATGGACCAGTGGCTTCAAAATCATGCCACATGTGTGTGTGTGTGTGCTCAAAATCCCAAGAGGAAAATGGAAGAGAAGTGATTGTGGCATGGCCATGCCTTCTGGGTGGGGGGGGTTCACTTTCCCTCTCACTGTGTCTATCTCTCTGCAGCAAGTGTACATGCTCTAAGACAGGAAAACTTCTTAAAAAAAAAACTGCTACAGGACACATACTCTCACTGAAGAGCGAGAGGAATTACACAGGCACTCCCCAGGGTAATGACCACACTGCAATTCATTCTCTTCACCTCCTGGGATTTTGAGCACTCGCCCATGTACCTGGGGTATTTTTCAAGCCATTGGGTCTGGGACTTGAACCATGTAGTCAGCCATATGGGAACCAGCCACCTTAACCACAACCACACCTGCTGGCCCCAGGAGACCCATTTTAAAAGATGGAAAAACAAGTTATAAGACAGTTTAAGGAGGTTGTTTGGAGCCATTGGAGTAAGTTATTAGAAGGTCTGAGACTGGGATTCAGGGTTTTTGAGTAGAGTTTTAGGATAAAAGGGGGTACCAGCAGATGGCATAATGGTGCTAGCCTCCCACATGACCGAGTACGATTCAAGACTCAGACCCGGCAGTTTGAAACTCATGCCGGGCACATGTGCGTGCATGTCCAAAATCCTGAGAGAAGAATGAAGAAGGGATGGTGTCATGGCCATCCCCCCTGGAGGGTGATTTCTCATTTTGTCTCTCTATCTCTCTCTGTCTCTCTGGCAAGTGCATGTGCCCTATAAAAAATGTCTCTCCCTCTAAAAAAAAAAAAAAAAGAATGAAAGGGGATGATCTCCAGTCTTCACTGCTCTGGAAGATGAAAGTTGAAAAGGGGATTCTATGAGGGAGTGATGGAGATACACAGCAGAGAATAAAGGGAGGCTTTGGAGGCAAACAGCCCTACACTTGAGCCTGAGATCTGCTGGATCAGCTCTGTGACCTTGGGCATGATATATCACCTTCCTGCTCCTCAGTTTCCTTCTGGGCAAAGTGATAATGATACTCTCATGTCTTTGTAGAGATGGGAGCAGTTAGCAACTGCAGGTTCCTGGAGTGTAGGAGGCTTGCACGTGTTTAGAAAGACAAGGTGTATCAGGGAAACATGCTAAGAAGTGGAGAGACTGATTACTTTGCGCTCTTCATTCCCAACTCTTTTTTTTTTTCCTTTTAGTATGCTAATTTAAAATCCAGTTGGTTCATGTAGGTTTTCCAAGTGGTTGGGATGAGGGGCTTGTTGTAGAACAGGATTACAGCTTGGAGAACATTCTAGACTTTGGGGTCAGAATCTGAGGTTGTAGTTCTGGCTGCAACACTCCTTTTGGGATGATTCTTTACCTCCCCAAAGACTTTGGTGAGCACTTTCTCTGGGCCTCTGACCCTGCTTTTGGCTTGGAGGACCACTTGAATGACCCAAATTTTCTATGACCTGAAATTCCTAGGAGGTCTTTAACTACGGGGGTGTTTACTTCCAGACCCTTGAATGGATAGTCCAAGAGCTTACACAGACCTCTGTGTGGTAGTGGACACGGGACATTTGACTATAGCCCTTGGAAGAATATACCATGAACGGTAAGCTCTCCCAGGAGCAGGGAGCTTCTCATGCTTATTCTTCACTGTCTGTGGGGGTGCTGATACATGGCAGACGGTCAATAAAATACGTGTTGAATAAATGAATGAGTGACCCTCCTTGGATGATGCTGTTAAAGATGATTTTTGTTTCTTTCTTTACACTATTCCAAGTCATCAGCAATAAAGTTGCAGTTTAAAAACAATAACTTTCCCAGACACAAAAGGGTCTAGACTGTGTGTAGTTCCATTTACACAAAGTTAAAAAGCAGGAAAACTAATCCATGGTGATAGAAGTTTCTAGGGTGCTAGAAAGGGTCTGCATTTGTATGGGGATGGTGGCTGTACTATCTGGATATGCATGCAGGATTTGTGCATGCTGCTGTATGTATGTGACTTAGTAAAAAAGAAATAAACAATTCCAAAGTGTAAGATGTAAATTGTTTGCAGTTGGCATGTGCCACTCCAGTTTTATTTCTATTTACCATGTCTAGTTTATCATTAAAACCTGTAGACTAGGGGGACTGCAGGTGGCATGGTAGTTAAGGCGTTGGCCTCCCACATAGCTCACCACGGTTCAAGTCCTGGACCTGGTGGCTTGCTTTCTTTCTGCTCTCTCTCTCTCTCTCCTCCCCCCGTCTATCTCTGATCAAATTGAAGAAAAATAATGATAAATAAAGTTAAATAAATAATTCTTAAAAAAAAAAAAAACAACTAAAAATTAGTATGTTCCAAGAGCCAACAAACTTTTTCTGTAAAGCCAGATAACCCGCTTTTAGGCTTTGTCAGCCACGCAGTCTCTGTTGCAACTACTCAACTTTGCTTTTATAACTAATACACAAGTGAATATTTGTATCTGTGTTCTGTGCTCGTTTCGGCAGCATGTATCCATGTTCTAATCAAAAAAATGGTTGGGTAGATTTGGCCCATGGGCCATGGTCTGTCATCCCTGAATAAAGCATTTACATAGGTAGCAATCCATCAATCTCTCATGCTTATTCTTCACTGTCTGTGGGGGTGCTGATACATGGCAGACGGTCAATAAAATACGTGTTGAATAAATGAATGAGTGACCCTCCTTGGATGATGCTGTTAAAGATGATTTTTGTTTCTTTCTTTACACTATTCCAAGTCATCAGCAATAAAGTTGCAGTTTAAAAACAATAACTTTCCCAGACACAAAAGGGTCTAGACTGTGTGTAGTTCCATTTACACAAAGTTAAAAAGCAGGAAAACTAATCCATGGTGATAGAAGTTTCTAGGGTGCTAGAAAGGGTCTGCATTTGTATGGGGATGGTGGCTGTACTATCTGGATATGCATGCAGGATTTGTGCATGCTGCTGTATGTATGTGACTTAGTAAAAAAGAAATAAACAATTCCAAAGTGTAAGATGTAAATTGTTTGCAGTTGGCATGTGCCACTCCAGTTTTATTTCTATTTACCATGTCTAGTTTATCATTAAAACCTGTAGACTAGGGGGACTGCAGGTGGCATGGTAGTTAAGGCGTTGGCCTCCCACATAGCTCACCACGGTTCAAGTCCTGGACCTGGTGGCTTGCTTTCTTTCTGCTCTCTCTCTCTCTCTCCTCCCCCCGTCTATCTCTGATCAAATTGAAGAAAAATAATGATAAATAAAGTTAAATAAATAATTCTTAAAAAAAAAAAACAACTAAAGATTAGTATGTTCCAAGAGCCAACAAACTTTTTCTGTAAAGCCAGATAACACGCTTTTAGGCTTTGTCAGCCACGCAGTCTCTGTTGCAACTACTCAACTTTGCTTTTATAACTAATACACAAGTGAATATTTGTATCTGTGTTCTGTGCTCGTTTCGGCAGCATGTATCCATGTTCTAATCAAAAAAATGGTTGGGTAGATTTGGCCCATGGGCCATGGTCTGTCATCCCTGAATAAAGCATTTACATAGGTAGCAATCCATCAATCTGAAAGGGACCTTAGAAATCATCTCACTTCACTTCTTCATCTTTGGGATAAGGAATTAGATTCAGGGAAGAGAAATGAGTTTCCTGAGATACAGCGCAGGGCCCTAGGGAAATCCCGGTTCTGGAGTCAGGCAGACCAGCATCTTTCTGGGGAGTCTGGGGGTGTGACTTGGGGCAAGTTACTTAATTTCTTTCAGTCTATATTATCACCATGTGTAAATATTGATAATAATGGAACGTACGCCTCACAGAGTTGCTGGGAGAAATAAATGAGATGACCGAGAAACACACCTTGTACGGGGGCTGGCACAAGCCGGGTGCTTGTTCATCACAGTGCCTGGTCTCCAAACTCCCTCCCTCCCTTCTAATCACAGTATCTGGCCTAAGCTCACCAACAAGACTGCAGAGAGTTTACTACGTGTGAAGCACTGTGGGGAACGTTGTGAAGGTATAATAAACAGATATGGGAAGTTCCCACATCCCACCAATCCTAGCCACTGGTTTCCTTTCCAGAAGTTCCTGCCACCTCCGAGCTTGTGTTCCCCAG